TCAACACACATCTGCCAAACATTGTTTATCCGTTTATTACAAGCTTATTATGAAAGTGTTCAGACAAATATGAATAAGGGTAATGCAATAAGGACAGACAATGATGCGACCGCTGCCCAAATACTCGACGATGCAGTACCGAACGTCGGTAAAAGCTGTTCCAAGTGGTGGAGGGAGAGACGAATTGCCGACAGGCTACAAATTAATTCCGGAAGTTCGCATTGATTTGCGCGTTTGTAAGCGCACGTTCAAGTTTCGACGCCCGGCTCATAAATCCTGGTAGCCTTTACGACAGGCAATACCTTTCTTTCTTTCTCTTTTGTCGATTTTTTCTCCTTCCCACTTGGTTTTGAATCCCAGCTGAGACACCCGCTCCTGCAGTGTATTAGCAAAGTCTCCATCACTTACGCCCTGAGACTATCTTTTGTGCATTTTTCTCTACCGTTCCTGACCCTGCCTGCCCCCTCCATCCCATCCCGTCCACTACCCAATCCTATCCACTGTCCACCAACCCCACATATTATATCCTCGCTTTTCTTCATCTTATCCGCTTTGGCAAATTTATAACGTGTCCTTTGACATTTTTTATGGAGTCTTGGTGACGGCCAGGCTTTTACTTACTTACTTCGCGTTTTCATTCTCTTTGCCACGACCTATCTAACTAATCACTAGAGATGACTGTCATACTTTTACATTAGTTTACCATCGCGATATTTTTGAGTCTATACTAAGTGGCGTTATTTAACTCGATGCTGAATTAGCTTGTACGGTTCACCTCAACAATAATGAATCGAAAAGCGATTTTAGGACAGATTTTTCAGTGAAATTAAGGGTAATTAAGACGATAATCTCTTCCTACCGTAGAAATTTTAACGTGCATATAAGTGCCTTAGTAAAGGATATTAAAGCTAGTGAAAATTAACCGCCGTTAAAGACTTATTTATTTATTATTTACCTTAATAACACCAAATTTTATACTTCACCTAACTGATGGCGTACAATACAATTTTTGCTGTATAAACCTATATCCGTTCGATAATCAATTAACTTTTTCTTTGGCATGTCCGTTGTAAACTCTGCCTGTTAAATTTAACAATCATCTATCATGGAAAATTAAAAAACCTAACCGACCGACATTTTATAATATACAGTCATTTATACATTCGTCGTATTTATGTGAAAACAATGCGAATACAGAAAAAATACTGCATATAAGACGATGAAATGCAATAAAGATGCGTGTGCGCGCGCGCGTGTGTCTTGTGTGTGCCTTGCGTCCAGAAACCAATCCTATTAACATAAATTAACATATTTTATTAAGGAGCACTTCAATTATAGTCTTTAAAGAAAACAAAAAAAAAAAAAAACAAAAACAAAAAAACAAAAAAAAAACGAAAAGTGTTCTATTTTTAAATTTTTTGGTACGAATAAACTGTAACTTAAGCGGAAAATAATTATACTTATTTTAAGATAATAAATATATCTTCGATACTTTTTTCGTTCAATTTTATCAGAATAAGTAATTTTAATTAAATTCACTTCTATGCTAAGAGTGAAAAATAGATAATTGGTAATAGCTTAATTCGATTAAAAACTCGTTTAAAATTGTAAGATTATTTTATTGATTTATTGCTATTTTCAAATTTAATTAATTAAAACTGTATTTAAAATAAAGCGACGATTACATACTTTAATTAAGTAAAAAACTAAGCTAATGCGCGCATTAAAGTAATTATTATAAATAAGGGCAACGACAAATTAAATTAAAGAATAATAATTGTAAAACAACTTTTAAAATATATAAGATACTCCTTTATTTTCATGTTCACCACTGTTCGAGAAGAGTACATCCAAAGTTTTTATTAATTATAAGTGCATAAAAGCGGAACACTAGTTATAACTAACTGATATAAAATTTTTACTTCTTCGTACTTCTTCTTAAGTTTTCGCGACTCAAGCTTAAAACGCTCTATTATATTATACGAATGCGCCGAGGAATAAAAAATGTCGGTTCAATCTTGAAATCTTCTTAAGGTATATACGAACTTGCATGACGATTGATCTCATCAAAGTTCCGAGATAATTTTCAATTAAATTATCGATCATTAAATTACCTTTGCAATTAAAATGTTATTCAATAAATTATCAAGGAATCGAGAACAACGTTACTTGAAAATAAGTTTCGTTTTAATAAATCGTTTATAAAGCAATAAGGCCATTATCGTTTTACCTCGGATCGCACTGCCGTCGCCGCCGTCGCCGCCGTCGCCTCTTACAGTTTCGAGGCAAGAATTGGAAATCGCTTGATTTACAGGGCGAGATAAGAAGAAGCAAACTCGTCGAACTCGACAAACACGACGAACTCTCAAACCAAGTAGGAGAGAAACTCACGAAACTCAGTGCATTTCTGCAGTCGCATCGAGACGCCACTTCTAGCTTTATATGTATTTCGTGATACGGCTTTTCAGCTTTAGATTATCGTTTTATATGAGTGCTCGGCGAATTTTTCGAGAGTATATGACATTGACGGGCGGTAATCTTAAAAAATAACACTCGGAGAATTAGAGTCCCGCAAGAGTTAACAATCGTGAATATCGTGAAATATCGAAATATAGGAAAGAAAAGCCTCTCTTTAGATCACCAAGTATTTAATGTCTCAAACATCTTCTTGTTTGTTTGTTTGTTTGTTTGTTTTTTTTGTTTTGCTTTTTCTTTTCCTCCTACATATAAGATCACATATAAGATACATTTTGTACATTTGCGTTATTATTTTGGATAATGTCTTTTTATTTTATTTATCGTATCGATTTAAAGAACAATAGAATGGATTTCGTAACTTTCATTAATTCCCATATTTCGTATTTAATTTACATAATTCACTTAATTATACCAATATAAATATTCGACAGTGCTATTACATTTCTTAATTAAAAGTTATTGTTTACATTAATTTATTCATTTATTAAATAGCGGTTAATTAGTTCGAAGTATATATATATATATATATATATATATATTTTTTTTTTTTACATATAATTGTTTGTTTTATGTTAATACGGGAAATAGAAATTAAAAAAAAAAAAAAGTATCATTGTTGGTACAAGTAGAATTAAATATTTTTTCCTTACTTATTATTTCATTTATATTTGTATATTATTTTATAATATTTTTGTGAGTTTATTACTTTCTGCCAGTTGTTATGATTATGCTATTAAATTTAAAAGCACAATCTTAATTTATTTGCTTTTTAATAAATATTATAGTTTATAGCGAAAATTGAAATTTGTATATTTTTAACATTCGGCGGCTATTGGAATTTTGATGTATTTTTATAAAACAAATCATCCATCAAATATTATTTCACAAAAATCAAATATCATTACAGACGATTTAAAATATCGACTTTTATAATGACGTTAATTCAGTTCAATATATACAGAAATTACTATTTAAGCGTAATAGTTTTACGTATACTATATTCACGGATTCGCCGATGATTATTATTAATTATTATATTTTTCCTTACTTTATTTATTAATATAAAGCTTTTAGGTTAATTACTGTATGAAAAATTTTACATTAGAATTTAATGAAATGGCAATTACTCGCTTAAGAGATGCCAATGAAATAAAATAAAACTAAATCTTTGAAAGGCACTTATTAGTTGCCATTTAATTTTAACATATTCTAATGTATTATATAAATAATTTAAATTTAAACATTATTTACTGGCAAAGACCACGAGCTTGCTATTGATTATTTGCTCGATGCTCGTATATGCATTCAAAAATAAAAGGTCCATTAAAATGCCAGCTAACTGATTTTTCGACAAAAAATATTTTATAAATTTTATCCTCCGTGTATTTTCATATCAATGTGTTTTATACATAATTTATAATCTCATTAATATGTATTTGTTTTGCGTTGAATTGCGATGGAAATTCCGTATAGCAAAGATGATTGTGGAACAACCACATTTCGCTAGGAGAAAAATTATAATTGTACTGGTTTGAATACAATAACTATTTAATATTGATAGTTTAATGCGCAAGATTAGATATTCATCTTTTATAATATACGATGTTTATGTCCAATGGCATTAGATGCTAATACTACTTAATTTGTAATATGACGATTTTGCGAATTAATATATTATTGTGAATAAATTTCAAGTAATTTAACTTATTCTATTAGGTTTTTTCTTTTTCTTTTTATTTTTTTCTGCTTTTTTTTTTCTTCTGTTTGACAATTCTGATAATTTTATAATTATAAAAATTGAATATTCATTAAAGATCGATCCTTTCTTAGGAATATTATATTTCATTGTCGTTAGGCTTTAAAGTATTTAGTATTATCGACATAGGCTACATTGAAAATTAAAAAGTAATATTTTAGTATCAAAATGCTTTAGTAAACATTTTTATTAGTTATTTAACAATATAAAAATATATAAATGTTTATCAATGCAAAGAAAGAGTAATAATGCTAAGTATATCGAACTATTATAATATTCTTGTACGGTGTATAGCAGTTTAGTTTGACTTTGAGATTAGATGGATTGGAGACTGAAATTGAGGTTACAGAATATCGAGTACTTGTAATCAGAATAAAAACTATGCAATAAAACTAGTAATGTCTATTTAATCTTATGAGCTAACTTATTTATATATTTTTATACAATTCACAATATCTTTACATATAATATATGTATAACGAAATGCAGTCGAAGACCAAAAAAAAATAGAATCTGATGACTAATTATCCGTGTATTACTTTCCCCGTTACAAAATACATCCTATAGTAAAATTACAATGATATCAATTAAAATGATTCGGTCCAAAGTTATCATTCATTTTTAACGTCGTTGTCGACAAAGTAACGAATACTAATATCGATGTTATTATTTTTCTTTTTAGCTACTGGGTGGTGCCTGCTTCAGCCATGGGCCCTACACGCTTTTGAAAGCAGTGCGAAATAACAAAACACTGGCTTAACTTACGAAACTCTGGAGTGATGCCGATCTCGTGAGTATCGGTGAGCTTCAGCTGCTCTGGATCGACAGTCGAGGACCTAATACGCCCTTGGCCTCGCTGAGGCTCTACTTCCTGCCGGAGAACACACCGGATGGACGTAGGGATACACATGGAGAGGTGAGCCCGTGTATCCCCATTTATTCGCCTGACGAAACCTAGAGCCAACCTAGAGTCATTGTCTACATTAATATCTAATGGTTAATATATCGGATTAATAATCGAAATTCGCGATTATCATGTGTTGTCGATCGCTCCATGGAATTCGCGTTAATTGGAAAGTCCAACTTTATGTTTCATTTTTATGCCCAAGGATATCGACTGTGGCTATTTTAATCTGAACTGCCATTCTTCAATATGTTTTACTAGTGCGAGTCGTTCGGCAATATTACATCGATTAATCAAATAAGTCTCATTGGGATGGGATTTATTTGATATTATAGAATAAACATATTTTATACTCAAGGTTTTTAAAATAATGATCTGCCACTAGAGTGCTTTCGTTTAATTAGTCACAATACCGTAGTTAATGAATATGCTAATGCATTTTATTTCACTCGTATAAGCCTATACTATTATTTACTTGTTTTACGATGAATTATTCAATTTGACATAAATCTAGCCATTTTACATATACAAAAAAACGCCCTACAAATTTAAAATAGGCACGCTCCTCATTCTTATTATTTAAAAATAAAGTTTATTTATACCAATAATATTTCACTCTTTTGAAGGGCACGAGGGTACTTATTTAGAAGCATATCGGACATCTACATTTAACAACAATTGAATTAATTATAAATGTGTTGCATTAGCATTAGGGAAAGTTAGCTAAAGACCTCAAGCAACTCATTGAAGAACATAAAGTATACGATAATATAACATAATACAGTTTGCACGGTATAGCGTTAATTAAAAAAAAATTAATAATAATTGCAGTTGAATATTGAAATCAATGCTCTTGAGGAGACATCGTCATTACGAATACAAGTTTTTGCGCTATTGCCTAATAATATTAAATACGTATGAAGGTAATGATAGGTTTGTTGCTCACGAGGATTTAATCATCAAGATAAAATGAGAACTTTAATAGGTACGTATGCATACTACAAAGCATTTTTTTTTTCTTTATTTTTCGATCGTGTGTGTAGACGCATATGCGTGCAGATGAGCCCGTACTGTGCGTATAATACCGGCAAAGCCGCAAATTACTCTCAATATGCAACGGCGAGTTCACGGTTGCATTACGAATACGCCCGTTTTATTATTCACTTACCCACTATACTTTTATCAATCACTGTCATTTCTTTCAGTTTTTTTTTTTTTTTTTTTTTTTTTACTTTTTCTTCTTCTTTTTTTTCTCTTTTTACCCACAAATAATTGACTACGCAAACAAAGAGAAGTTACATATTTAAATTAAGCAGCTAGCGAAACGCACTTTGCTATACCGTTAATTGCTTTTATTTATAATGTAAGATTATCAGCTCGTTTCCTCGTGCGACTAAAATTTCCAAGTTTTTCCTTTTCATTATTTTTTACTTTCTATTTCGTTAAAACTCGATTATTAACAATTTTGTTTATCTACAAGCAGTTGGAATGGCGTAAAATCATTAACATCCCCTTTAACAATATCTATTTTAATTTTAAATCATTATAATTGTTGGAGAAAAATTATTATTTTTTGCAATTGTTCAAAAAAATTTCTTTATTAATTCGTAATACTGATTTTCTGAAATCTCGTACTTATATTAATAAGTAAATCTGATAAATAAAGAAAAAAAAAGAAAAAAAAAAATAAGTTCAATTTTGTATATGATATTTTAATATATAAATATACAATAAAAAATCAATTTATAATGAATATTATTCATAAACTGTTTTAAAGATGCAAAAAATATATAACAATTTTGGGTATACATGATATTTTCTCATTATCATCCAATAAATACATACATAAATGCCAACACTTATGTTTGGCAATGCATATTAAACGTATGTATTTTCAATGTTACATTAACTTTGATATATGGACAATATTAGATAATATCTTATAAAAGTTTATAAATAATATTCATAAAGTGTAGAAAATTTTTTTAACAATAATCTAAATGCGATTAATTTCTAAAAATTTATATTAAAAATTCATTTATTTATATTTAATGCTTAAACTTATCTAGCCTGCATTTCTTAATAAACTAAATGCATTTAAATTAGAAAATGTAGAATAATATTTTCGATAATAAATTTATTTTAAATAAATGATTAAATAATCTGATTGATTCATTTGATTGGATTCGCACATCTTATCGATCGTATACTCATAAATGCAGAAAGTCGAATTTTCATTTTGAAAAATCAAAATGATAAATTTAAATATCCAATATATATTTTATGAAATTCATAGTTGCATGTTTTAAATGTCTTATACATAATAAAAAATATATGGAACAATAATATTATAACGTTTAAAATATTTTGACGAATAAAGAGAATTGAATTTCATTTCATTGCGTTCTACATAAAAAAAATGTCCCTCTTTCTTTGTGTATAATCTACCCCTTTTTTTTCTTCTTTTCCCTATGGACAGATTGTTATTCATAAAGGGTATATAACCTTGAAGAAGGAGAGAACGGCTTCCCGGTTGAGATAAAGGAGGGAAAAAGTCTTGGAAAACATTCGAGCGACACAGACGAAAGTAATGCTTAAGGAAGATGTTTAGAGGAACTATACGAAAGTTTGTATAAAAGTTAAAAATTTGCGCCGTGAAGTTAAATATTATGATTTGGAAATGTATTGCAAATATATCGCCTTTTAATATCTTAAAATTAGATAGAAAGATGTAGACAAACAGCCGAATGAATATTTTCCAATATTTGAATGAGAAAGAAATACTTTGAACGAGAATATAAATAAATTGTTGCTCAATACGGATAACGAATTAACAATATATTTCAAGATTAATGATTTCGTGTAATTTTTCTGAAAATACATTAAAAATTTCATTAGAAATTTCAAAGTCTGGTAATTAAAGAGTCTTTTATTAAATTACATTACGAAAGAAAATCGAGCAACAAATAATCTTGAGGCCTTTGGATCTAGCAATTCGTAAAATTTTCAGTACTTATATATAGCCATAATCAAGAGAAAAATTCATTACTTTGCATAATCAATCGGTTATTTATTTATTATGAGCTTAATTGAGCAATACCAGGAGCTATAATTATTAATCTTATAATGTGTTGAATAAAATTTTTCATTATATTTTTGAAAATCGAACAATTTTACATGACATCCGAATGTGTAATAGATAGAATATTTCAACAGATTTTTCTTAACTGGAATTAGAATTTAAATTTAATTAAAATCGAAAACCTTTAAGGCAATTGTGATTTACGATACCTACCAAATCATACTTTCTATTCTTGCTTTCCTTATTTTAGTGACGAAACTTATAAAAAGATTTCTTATTACTTTCTATGTGCACTCCTCGCATTATTTTCTCATTCACGAGAAAAATATGGATGTATTATTATAATGTAATGATACAAATAAAACGATGTATTTATGTAACGCAAAATTTTTAAATTAATATTACTTTTAAATTATATTGTGAAACATATGTAAAATTATTATATATATATATATATATATATATATATATATATATTTAAAATTACATCGACGTATATAAAATTTATTAATTATTACGTATAGTGCTAATTATTATTGTATTTAATGTAATTAACAATATAATTCCAACTAATATTGTTGTTGCTGTTGTCGTCGTCGTTGTTATTATTATTGTTGTTGTTGTTACATTAAAGATGTTTAGATTTAAATTACCTGTCTGAATTATATTTTGTTTTTCATTGTTCGAGTAAGTGTCGTGACACAGTTGATTTATTGATCGAGTGATTGATTATAACCACATTTAATAACATGATATCGTTTTACATCATAACAAGTATAAAATGGCAATTGCATTAATATAAAATACATGTAAACACTAAAGCTTAGAATTGCTGCTGTAAAATAAATGAACTTCCAGGTGAAATATTCATTGCTAAAATTATATGAAAATATATAAAAGTTTCGAAGTGAATAAATGGAAATGATGGCATTTGTAATGATAATCTAATATCAAAACCAAATGCATAGAAGTAGAAACATTTATCAGGATCGGAGTGTCGTTGACTTTAAGTGATTACTTATATTTAAAAATTTAATGCTATTTATTTATTTTAAAATGTTAGCACACGGCTTTAAACAGAGAGAATATTTATTTCTAGTTTTACTTTTCATTCTCGTCATATAAGTTCTTAAGTATATATTTTTTAACTATCGTCGCGTGAAATCCGACTAAAGTAATTCGGTTAGAATGACAGTGAAGCTGAAAATACCAAGGCAATTATGTAACGAAGAACGACGACAATTAAAACCTAAATATTGTAACAAATTATGTGAGGCAACAGAGCGGAGGAGCCGAAAGGTAAAAGGACATCGATTTTTCAAACGCGCGTAGAACGAAACTGGCATAAAACAAAGCAGTGGGAGGCTTCAAAAAGAGTGAGAACCTTCATTCAAGTGTGTACATGACTCGGTGCGAGCTTGCAAGTACATTTGCGTGGCTATAAGATGAAAAGTGAAAGGGCGGGAATGTGGAAATAAAAAGTGAATAAAGTGGAATAAAAGTTCTTATGGTAAATATATTTTTGTGGGATGTCGTTGGAATGATACTTTTTTCCCCTGCTTCTCTCAATTTTATATTTTCAACATTTTTAGAAAAAGATAAGGAGAGATGATAAGTAGATATGTAAGGTTATCAGGAAAACGTAACTTCAATTAGTTTCACAGAGGCCACTACGTATTTGTTTTATGTGAAAATTAAAATTTACATTTATGTGTAGCAAGGTTAGAAAAGGCAGAGCGAGAGAGAGAGAGGGAGAGAGAGAGAGAGAGAGAGTGAGGGAGACAGTGGCAGACAGACAGACAGACAGACAGACAGAGAGAAAGAGTGAGATAAAAGAAATATTGTAGGAAGTGTATCATACATTTGTGGTTCGTGTTAAACTTTGTGATCGAATCGCTTTTGAAATGTCCACGATCACACGATATTTCTT